CAAACAAATAATTTTCTAACTGTACAAAAATTTGAGAGGAAATTAAAAAATTATTAATGATGATTTTCCTCACTCTGTGCATAGTTAGTTTTTGCTGTTGTCTTTATCGCATGATTTATGACAATTTAATAAGGTTTGGTTTTTGAGTTGTCATTGTGAGTAATTATGTGTGAAGTTGTGACTGCGCCCAAACGATTTTGTTGAATAATCATAATTGAATGAGTGTGACGAAAAATTGGTAGAAAAACTTTCAATGTATTTTATGAAGATTATTTTAAATAGGTACATACGTATGTAGTTGTTTATAATTTTGTAAATATCGAGGAATTTTCTTAAATTCCAGGCAGTAGTAAATATTGTATATAAATTGTCTACCTCTTTGGGGATTATGAACGTGGCCGATTTGTCTCCTGATATTTCCAAAGGTGTTTCGAAGGGAACCTACATTTTATTCTTAACCGTCTCCGTTAAATGTATGTCTTGAAGGTGTTGACACTCTCGGCCCGTACTAACAAAAATATTAAAAGTTTCTTCTGTAATCATAAATGTTGGTCTAGTCGGGACTCCAAGGTATAATATTCCGTATGGTTGTATACACTCCTATTCAGTCCTCTATTGCGATCGCCACTGTTGCTTTGAAAAGTCAAATTCTGCTTAAGATGAGGTAAGCGTTATAAAATAGGAATTTTTGCAGAAAATTATTTTGAAGTTATGACTTGAAGTACTTATTAAAGAAAAAGTCACTTCACTTCCAGAGAGTTTGCTCCTTTATTTGACCTAAGCTAGCTCGACGAAGTGGAAGAACTATTCATTCACGATACACTCATGGGTTTAAGTAGGAGCTAATTTATTCGTCTTTTATTTTCAAACTCTTTAAAGTTTTTGAAAAATAGAAAGTAGTCGCACCATCCGCCCTCTGCACTAAAAAAATATTAACCAGAAACCATATTCAAAAAAAAAATATAACTCTACAAATTAAGATTAAACATTGTTTGTATTTACTTTATTTTTGTTGATGTAGTATAAAGTAATCCATTTTTTATTAAATTGAAGTCTTCATTTACTATAGTTACAGCTATTCAATTTACATATAACAAATATACACTGATAACTTTTTGCAAGTTTGATGGTAAAGTCATTATGCCTATCTCATAAAAACCCTTATCCCTCCCTATCGCCAAAAATTGGGAATTAGAATTTTACAGGCTTCTCTTGAGACCAACTCTTCACTAGCTGTACCATACGCCATGGAGAAGAACACTTGATGCCAAGTAAAAACTATAAAGTGGATCAATAAGAACCTCACAACTATCGATGTATGTGGTCTGGCGTTGTTCTGAAAAAACGCAATTCCTCTCCTGTTGGTCAAAGTTGGACACTCCTGCGCGATTGCTTCCATCAGGCGGCCCAATTGCTGACAATACTGATTCGAATTAAGAGTGTAACCGTAGGAGAGCACCTTATAGTGGATGATGCCTTCTGGCCGTCAATCCTGGTCAGGATACCTTCTGTGCCGACGCACTGTCCCTCGGCCTCGACCGTTTTCCCTTGACGTTGTTTTTCAAGTGATTTAAATTTGTTTTGTTTTGTGCAATGCTTAGCTCTTGGGTAATCGAAAAAATGCTCGCATGATGGTAAAACTCGTTAAATTCCATTAGTTTATCGACATTTTCGATAGTTGGCCTTCCACACCATGGATCAACACTTACATCAAAATTACCGGAACGAAAGGAAAGAAACTAAAATTGTGTGACTGCTAACTATAGACATATCGAGCTCTGACAAGGAGGTCTCCCAGCTTAATAATAAACAACTAAGTGCTTATATACGGTTTTTAATTTATTATCTAAACAAATTTTTTGATCAGTTTTAGAAGAACGCTTCAAACTCAAATCCAATACGTTTGAATCTGAAAAGTATAAGACGCAAAAATAATCTCTTTTAATCACAAAATTTATTAAGTTATTTTGAATCCATTTCTATATTTCAACTTAAATTGCCTGTGGCGGCCTTCTTCTACACCAAAAAACAAACATACATACACACATATCTAATTTTTTATATCTTTTCACTCAAACATTTTTATTGGATTTCATGTTGTGCTTTTTTCCCCATAACTACAATGCTTTTATTGCAAAAAGAAGAAAAAAGCAATCACACATACATATATACAAACACACACACAAACGATAAACTCTGGAAGACCTTTTTCTATCTCTGCCATAAAGCCAATGATGATTGCTGACATTCGTTTATAAAAAAAAACCCTCGATAGCTGTGCCTCATCGATGTTACTTCAACTACCTACACGCAAATAAATTAAGCGGTATATAGGAGAACAACAAACAATAAATAGGAAAAGCAAAATGAAAAAACATAAAAACAAAAAATTGCGCGCACGCTCAATTAGTTAAATGTCACTACGCGCCGCGTCTGTAGCGGCTAAAACTGACAGAACGAAATACGCGCATGTGAATAAATTTGTTGATAGTGTTGTATGTATGCATGTACATATCTATGTGTATATGCGTGAATGTTTGGATACGTAGGTTGACTTTCATTAAAAGTGGGTTTTATGGCCGACTTCGATGGTTGTTTAGATGTTTGATGGGTTGTTTCTGATATTTTGCATGTGATACAAACATACATTTGTATATATGTACGTGCGTTAATATACGTATTGTACATACGAGTAATTATACTGGGTATGATTACACATATTCGTGCATGTGTATGTATGCACATACTTATTGGTTTGACGAGTTTGGTGTGGCACTTAAATCTTGAAAATATGCAGTTTGTGGTTACTCATAGTTGTTGTTGTTGTTGTTGTTTTTTGTCGCTTTTGTAGTGGTTCAGTAACTCCTTTTTCTAGCACACGCTTAACCCAATTTCAACTATGGCCATTAATTTGCTACATACCAAAGGACAGTACATACATATGTACATATGTATGTAGATGTATGAAAGTATGTATGTATGTGCAAATGTACCTTCATCTGAGTTGTCTTCTCAAATTAGTTTTCCTATCGGAGATTTACTACTTTTCACAGGTATAAAACATATTTCAAATTCAGCAAAATCGCATACCTACATACATACATACATTTTTTTACTTAAACGTATTTGCAACCCCATGGAGTTCTTTAGAATTTTCATAAGCATTTGTTTTGTACGTGTCTTATGACATTTTTAACATATCCGAAAATCTATTTTTCTTTAATGCTTAGCAAATTAAGTTTTTTTTTTAAATTTTGACCAAAATTTCCGAAATGAGCGTAAAAATGTTATTATTGTTTTTACCCTACCCACGTTACGAAACCATTTGTGTAGAAAAAATTATTAAATGAAGTGAAAATCCATTATTTTTCCAATAGATGAAGTTATTTATCTGTGTCTCGCGTTGTATACGTCCGATCGGGTTCCGCTAGATGGGGTTAGCGCGCGTTAAAAATGGACACTAGCAAAGAGAAAATACGCTATATTTTACAGCTTTCTGCGATAAGAACGAAAACGCAAGCCAGGCGGCTGAGCAGCTCCCATATGCCAAAACTCTTAATTCGGCACTGTACTGTCAATAATTGGCCCGTCTGAAGGAAACAATCGCCCATAAGCGGCATACTTTGGCCAGTATGGGAGAAATTGTTTTCCATCAGGACAATACCGGAGCACAGACATCGATAGTTACTCGTCAGAAGCTTCGGGAGCTTAATTTTGAGATTCTTATGCATCCACGAAGTGATTAACATGCGTCCCTGTCCATGACGAAAAATATGGCTGGTGAAAACATCGCTCCAAGAGAAGGTTGTGAAAATCGTTTGTATTGAAATTACCTTTAAAATGGCAACACGTTATCGAATAAAATGGCACATATTTGACCTAAATCGGATCATTCTAACTAAGGTAATTAAAACCTGCAATTTCATGTAAAAATAATGGATGGATTTCCAGCGATCAATGGTAAATTGTTGACGATCTATAAAGAAGATGGACAAACAGAACTGGCCACTAAGATAAATAACGCATTGGGATAACCCTTTGCTACTTGCCAGCTGTTCCTCACGTAATTTTCAAATAAAAGTTCCGCGTCAAGATAGATAGAAACCACAACCTGCTGCAAATCTAACTGAAATGGGACAGAAAGAGATCACGAGTGGACTACTCTTCAAAAGAGAGGGCATTTGATAGGACGACATTCAGAGAGATTATGGACTCCGTATAGGAGATTCTGCAGAAGCTGTAAGGATGATGAGGAAGAGGAAACTGTCAACCTCTTTTATGCTACTGCTACTGGATATGGACAGTGCTTAGTTTCCGAGTTTCGAGACCAAAAGATAACTGATGTAAGTCCATGAATTCAATAAGAATCAAAATTGCTTGTTGTATAGCTTAATGGTCAAGCTTTTGAGGCCGATCTTAAATGGCTCAGGTGTAATCAATGTCGTATATCAGTACCCATCACAACCTAATCAAAATCGAACCAAAAATGCGATTTGTTTCGAACACTACCCTCCGTCTATTTCTTCGAATTTTTCTTTCATACAATTGTTAAAATCGGCCAAGTCTATTTTTCAAACGAGGGTTTTTTCCACCATTTTTACAGAAGCAGATACATTGTTCTAATTTTTTGTATTTTACTTCATTTAGATATTTTAAATACTTTGTAAAGGAGTGTAGAGAATGATGAACAGTCGCAATAAAGTTTCACATACATATGTACATACATAATTCGGTATAGGTAAACGTACTTTATAGGAACGTTGTGTCTTTAAAATCTTTCCTTTTTCTAACTTGTTTTTTATGACTCGGCAAATTCCGTACGTCATGCGCTTGGCGCCCCTCTTATCGGTTGGCGGAAGGAGTTAATCCTTGGGCTTAATATATATTTTTAATTTTTTTTTAACGCATAAAATCTAAATTTACTTAATAATGAATTTAAAATTTCAAGAAAAAATATTAATCTATTTTTCAACAATTCACTTTATATGCGGTTAACTAACCTTAAGCCAATAAAATTATTTAAACTTAGTTTTGCGCCTTGAACTTCCGAAGCCGGTGTTTCTTGTTATCGCCAGACTGAAATCATTAATCGTTACAATCGCTGCTAACTTGATATATAAGTTTTTGTGTCAATTAAAAACTTGCACGTTCACTTTATTGATTCCATTTATTTATTTCTTGTTGAACAAGCTTCTATAATTATGCAATTAATATTTTTTATTTTTAATCTTTCATTTTCAATATTTCGGCGCTTAATTCGACTAATTATACAATTAAGATTATTTAATTGCAGAAGTTTCCGCATATTTTTTTTTACAAATTTTAAATAAAAATGTAAGTTAAAGCACAAAAACACTAAATACACTCAAATAACAAAAAGTTGTCTACATGTGTACACGCGAATACATGTAAAATATGTACATAAAGTATAAACCCTTTATGCTGAAAAATATTTTTTTTACTTCTTATTATTTTTTCATTTTTTTCCTCTTTTTATTATTTATTATTATGGTTTTTTTGCATTGATATACATAAATACATGCATTTAAATATATATACACACATATACACCTCTTTCGTTTAATGATTTTTACAAAGTTTTATTTTATTTTACTTTTTTTAAATTTTTTTTTAATTTTTCAAAATTCTTGTCAAACACTCGTAACAAGTTTGGTGAGCGCGCTTTTATAACGCATATTCTTGTTTTTATTTGTATTTTTATTTTATTTATCAATGACAAATCACATGTACATACATATGTACATAAATTTACATATTATACACTTAACCATATGCACATATGTATGTATTCTGTCAATTTTTCTAAACGCACACACACTGCGCACACTACGCACCAACACAAAACACGTCAAAGCCGTTACGAGTCTCAAACACAACTGTTCATGTTTTAGCCAACCAATCGGCCGTACACTCGATAAGCACAGTTTGAAAGCCAAATCCCGACTTTGACTCTGTTTTCAAACTGTTTAGTTCGATCAAACTGTTGCTCGCAACTAGTAAATCGTTGTTGCTTGTGCAATCGAACATTTGTTGTTGAAAGCTTTTGCGACTGGAAAGTTGCTTAGCCAAATACTAAGCTAGCTATTGCCTTGACTATTTTTTTTTTTGTGATGCTATGACTTGTTGATACTGAAATGCACTTACGTATGTACATATATGTATGTATGTACAAATAAAGAAGTATGTATGTGGCAGTCAACATTCCTCGGATAACAAACAATGCACGTGCTTTATTTGCAAGGCATACATACATATATACATAAATAGGAGTAAATATATACATACATATTTATAAGTTATGCCTACATTTGGCTATGCGCTGGCAAATAAATTATCTATGTATTTGTATATATGTATGTATGTAGACGATAAAGTTTTAAGGAGACTTACATGTAGGTATGTATGTTTGTACAATAAAAATACATATATAAAGAAGTATTATTCCATAAAAGTTGTCGCACTATTTACTTACATATATATATGTATATGTACATACAAATGTGAATTTTTATTGATTTTACGCGTAGACTACGAGTATTTGTTTCGACCAGTTTTTGAAGTTTTTTTTCTTTTAGCCACATTTTACCTTGTGTCGCATTCGTTTACTATTCAATACGGGTTTCCGATTATGTACATATGTACATTTGAAGGATTGCAAGTTTGCACTGTTGCTGTGCTTTTTCTATTCTGCATTCACATTAATTTGGCGCACTTTTCGCATAGCATAGATTTCTAGCTTGGTCTATCACACACATACATATACATATGTACTATAGGTACAAAACTACGCCTACATCAACTGGTATGCGCAAGCACCACCATCTCACTACGAGTGCGAACACACGATCGCTTGGCGCTATTCATATTCCATATATTTCTTTTTCTTCTATTCCCATACCAACAGAGCCCATGGACTCCATTTGACATACGAACAAACTAATTGTTTTGACATTATTCGCTTCGTAATTGCGTAGAATGCGTGTCGGAGTCACATTCCTAATTTAGTAATTTTGAGTTAATGGTCAAATTATATCTCACATGGCAGCGTTGGTTAGTTGAAATGCTTTAAGATTCTCAGTAAGACGAATGCCGGGTGGCTGTTCACACTTCAAGCAGGGATCGGATGGTTGCTTAATCTTGCTCGGCTTTCGCCAGCGAGTACTTTAATGTTAATTCAATAATTAAACGGAACGACAGGGCCTAACACTGTCTGAATTAAAAATCTTATATATCTGTTTTTGTCTTCCCAACGTCTTCAGTACTTGCGTCGCTTCGTCGAGTGTCTTCAACGTATATACAACAGGAAGGCTGTGATGAACGACTTGTGGAGCTTAATCTTTGCTTGTCGAGAGAGCACTTCATTTTTCGATTGTCTATTCAATCTAAAGAAATGCATGTCGGTCGGACTGATTATTAAGAGCTACAGCTCCGGTCTCCGGAATCAACACAAGTCTGAGGCACTCCTTAAAGGAAGGGGACCAGATATCTTCACAACAAAATCACGGCCTTAGTTAGCTGTAAAGCATTATAAGAGCCCATGCTTCAAGTCAGTCGGTCCCTTGGAGGTTTCTATGAGAGAGAAAATGTAGGGAAAGTGTGCGACATGGTGAAGCTTCAGCAAAATATATCATTTTTCATATCCGGGTCACCGAAGTGATCACTATGACAGGAATGCGACGTAATATGAAGTACGCTCGTTTACTCTACCACTGCGGGAGTCAACGGTTCAGTATCACCTTCACCTTCGGATTCCCAACTCAACATAAATAGACTTTTTAGAAAAGTTTAAGTTCCTTTCTGGTTTTAGGCAGCCCCTTTTCACTGCGTCCAGAAACTCCATTACTGTACGGTCCCAATATGTTCCAAACCAATCAAAATAATGATAGACATTAATCTGAAGGAGCTTCAGGCTGCATTGGTGAGTACAAGTTCATGAATCTAAAGACCAAAGCTTGAAAAGATCAGGTTGAAATATTTTGACTAACACTTGCACGCACTTTGACAAATTATCGGAAGCATTAAGCCAACCCCAACCAAGCTAACTTTGAGCGAGAACGAGCAATCTACATCAAGTATTGCTGAAAAAGAAGTGTCATGGAATTCCTTTTTCATCTTTTATAAGACCATGACAACCTAAACAGTTCAGCACATGCTGAAAAATTACTAGCTCCTACCTGAACAAAGGATCAGTATAAATATTGGAACATGAATCAGATGTAAGCTCACAGTTTTTAGTATTTTGACTAGTCTCTGACCAAGCAGAATTCCCAAAGAAGTTCAGATTTTTTACAGATCCTTGAGGTGGAGAAAAATACTTAGTATTCTCATGAACGAGTCTGATTTTGCGAATTGTGTCGTTATCAACTCTTCTCAACGCAGATTTGTTTTTGACTCCAAATCTTTCGTGGACTTAGTAGAAGTGTGCATACGCTCGCCTTGTACTTTTCAAGAGCTCAATCTTACCAAACTCAAAAGTAAACAATTAGTCTATACACCTGCAGTTAAAAGGTGCCACCATCGAACCACCACTACTTTCTATAAACCAAAAAAAAAAAAAACAACCAAAGAAAGCAATGAAAACAAAAATAAATATACCGGTCCAACACTTGAATCAACAAAATCGAAAAAGCCTACTTTTTAAAGCTTTTGCCTTCAGCCCAATACAAAAAAAAAAAACAAAAACAAAAAAGAAAACTCAAATAAAACCAGAATTAATTTCACTACGCTTCCAGACATGCCACCGCACAATCGCGATTGCGCGCCTGAACACCACACGCCGCAAAGAGGCCGTTGGGAGTGAAACCAAATCAAAAAAAACAAGCGACCAGACAAATTCTTATGTGCACTTGTTGCTCTCCCAACTGCTGTTGGATGCCCATTCAAGAGCCTGGCTGGCGATACGTCTGCGCTTTGCCGGTCGGTCGGCCAGCCAGCTAGATGCCCTTGGTGTGACCCAAATCAACGACAAATGTTTTGTTCCACCTTTTTGTTGTTGCGAGTATTTTATATATCGATTTTTCAATAGCCACATTGTTGGCAGCCTTTCCATTGTACTTCTTTACATACTCGTGCATATATGTATATGTAAATGCATATGTAAAATTCTTAATCTTCAGTAACGCTTTTTTTTTCATTGGTCGTTAGCTTTTTTCATTTTTTGTCTACAAATTTACTTATTCATATTTATGTATGTATGAGTAGAGCTGCCGTAAAGAAATGGCGCTAAGTGGCTCTTGCGTGCGCTTAATTCGAAAACATGTTTTTTTTTTTTTTTTTGAATATTAGAAGCGTTATGTAAATTAACATAATTATTGATTAGACTGTCACATTTAATTGTTTGAATTCATTTTGTTAATCAAAAATTTACACCCAAAGAGTCGGAGAGTACATTAAGTGTGGAAATAACGGTAGTTATGTATGTTTTTCTTTTGTGTTAAAATTAATTTTTAGTTGAGAATTTTACGTGAGTTTATAATCACAGTCCATTGTACGCCAAGAGATAATTACCCCTCGGGGTAACCAGCACACCTACTCAAGGTCAAAATCTTTTAACACCACTCTGCTTAACATTGCGACAAGGTTTGGGAAGGGTTTCGCCCCTAAAGAGGAAGCTTTAGTTATTTCCGGCGAAATGTTAGTGGACATTTATTAATAATTTACCCGAGATTGTTACGACTGCGCAACGAGAGTTGGGTTTTTCGGCGCACTTAGTGAAGCTCCCGGTAAAAAAAATGTCTCTCTCAATTAGGGTGTACATTCTTAACCAACCAGGTATGTCTCACAAGGAGGGAGGGTGTTCTTTTTACATCTATATGTAGGGTCTCACTGTCAACATGTTGGCTTCGTAAAAGTTTTACGGTTTTGCCGCCTGTAGGCTTTTCAATTTTTGCCTCCCCCCCTATTGCCTCAGAAATTCAAGTTTTCATAAATTACACTTTCGATCTATAAAATGTCTTAAGACCTAAGGTACGGTATCAAATCCTTGATTATTTTCACAGTAAGCATATATGAAGAAATATCGTGTTAAGCAAAGAAAATCTCAATCATGAACTTCTTGTGAGGAAAGTTAAGGTATGTCTTGAAACTGTCCAATACTTGCATGACAGCAACAAAGCCTACGCAAAAAAAGTACACTCGAAAAACGTTGATAAATATTTTTGTATTACAATTACAATTTAAAAAGAGGATTGGAAATACTACTCTTTAATTATCTGTTTGTATTGAAAAAAAGGTTAAATTGAAAGGAATTACAATCACTTTTAGCGGGGCTTTGATTTCGCAAAATCATTAATTAAGTCGCCGAATGAAATCTTCTTCATTCGTTCTGATTCCAGGCATAAAAGAGCCGAAGTGCTTAGCTTTTCCTGATTAAAAGTCGATCGTAGATAGTTCGTGACTCTCTTCAGGCAAGAAAAATTCTCTCAGCAGTACAATTTGTTGCTGGTGTACATAAAGCAATACGAAGTGCTATAACCAAGTTTGGATAAATAATTTCTCATTTCAATTTCCCTTCATGGGTTTTAATCAAGGTTTATAGAAAACAAGGTTACGACAACCGTTGACGTCACCGAACCAACTTCGTCATATATACAGTGGGCTGTATTTGATGTAGAAAGAAATTTTTTTATTCAAAAATGTGTATTTTAATATGGGAAATATTTCTTATACAGAAGAAAACACAAATTATACCTTTTTTTGATTTTACGTACTAACACCAACGCAGTCAGATATTTGGCCACTTTTTTATTAAAAACATGGCACAAAAATTAGCGAAAAATTAGATACGGTGCAAGGTTTGGATCAAACCAAGTTCGATGTGGCCTTTTATTCGGCCAATATTAACACAATTTTAATACGTAAGTACCAATTTTTTTTTTTTGCAAATAAATGCTTAATTATCGCTGATATATGATATAGTTCACTATCCGATGAATTCAAGTTTTCTTAATGCCAAAAAAAAGAAAAAAAATATGCGAAAATCGGTTTTTTTTATTAGAAGTTTTTGAATTTTAATAGTTTTTAAAGTTTTTGTTATTAGATGAAGTAAAAAGTTCGTTCGGTGTTTTTTTATTGATTTTTGAAAATTTGATAACTTTGTGTACATTTGTCCAATTTAAGTCAAATATACGCCGCTTTATTCGTAAACTTGTTGCCAACGAGATGCCAACTTTATTATACCCCTCTCGTAGAAGGCTGCGTCCCTATCGGCAAAAAACTCGGAGAGCCAATTTTCGCAGGCCTTTCTGGAGGCCAACTTCTCACCATTAAGCGGGTTCGCCATGGAAAGGAAAAGATGTTAATCACTTCGCGCCAGATCAGGACTATAAAGTGGATGCAATAGGACCTATTAACCGAGCTCCTGGAGCTTCTGGCGCGTCATCCAAAACGTGTAGTAGATGATTCCTTGCCAATCCCACCAAACACTCAGCAAAACCTTCCTGACCGTCAATCCGGTGTTGGCCACCGTCTGGACCATTTCTACGAGCTTCGACCAAGGCTGTTTGCGCTCGATGTTTTCATAAGTGACCCTTTTTTCATCGCCAGTCAAAATCCGCTTCAAAAACAGATCGATTTTGTTGCGATTCAGCAGGGACTCGCAGATGGAAATTCGGTCCATCATGTTTTTTTTGCGTTAGTTCATATGGCACCCAAACATCGAGCTTCTTTTTGAATAAAAGGTTTTCTGGCTTATCTTTAGTTCCACAGCAAGTAAAAAAGTGCTCACGTGACGGTCTGTTTCCACTATTTCCATGATTTTATCGCGATTTTCGACGACAGGCCTCCCGACGCGTGGTGCATCTTTAACATCGAAAATACCGAAACAAAACCTAGCAAACCACTTTTGTGCTACACGTTCGTTTACAGGATCGGGTCCATAAACTAAATTAATTTTTTCAGCCGCTTTGGTTGCGTTTTTGCCTTGATCGAAGAATAATTGTAAGATATAACGAATTTTCTCTTTGCTGGTGTCCATCTTTGAGGAGCGCTCACAACGTACTGAGTCAATCAATCGAAAAGCAGTCAAATACAAACTTTTAGCGCGAATAAACACGTTTCCACGCTGTATAGTGTGACATGATGTGACACGCAACACTAGTACTACGGACATAACGCCATCTCATAGATAAAAAAATAGACCGAACGAACTTTTTACTTGACTTAATATTACTATAAGTTTTTCTCTATGCTCCCAAAATTATTAATTTTATTAACACAATTTAATTATATATTTATAATTTTATTGACAATCAAATTTCAGAAAGTTCTTTTTTATTCGTAAAAAATGCCGATGAGAATTGAAACAACTTTTTTTTTATATATAAAAGCAATATGATATGAGGACTACTGCTATTTGACAATGAAAGGAACTTGACATGAAATTTTATAAAACTTTAGAATTAATAAAGAATGATTGTTTCGACAAGCCTTCTCCTCTTCTTTTTATCAATATATTATAGCCCAAGAAAGAATAGCGTTTTAGTACTTTCTTCTTTTAGTTTCGACCAAGCTCCCAAACTCTCCATTCCCCTAACTCTCGTCATTCGCCTAACTCTCGTCATTCGCGTAACTCTTTACGGCGCAGAAACCTAAACGTTGACATTATGCGGTAAATCAGCTTCGAGAATCTTCATGGAAAGATATTGCGGAATATTCAAATTCCTCTGCTAGGTCACATGTCACGCGTAAGCAGGGGAAGACTTTCATTCAGTCTCCAAAAGAGAGAGACGAGGTCGAAGGTCAGTAAACGACACAAGCAGTATCCAAGCCAAGGAAGATTTTTTTGCGTTTTTGCTGGAATTGGCAAGAAATCATCTACTAGCAGCTGAACCCCTATAGCCAAATTTTCAATTTAAAGCCCGAAACAGGAGGGGAATATTATTTCATCGGGACAAAGCCAGACCACACACATCGATAATCATTAGCCAGAAGCTCCGAGAGCTTGGTTGAGAGCTTCTTATGCATCCACCTGGTGTGCGGACCTTGGTGCGACCAAGTGATTACCATCTGTTCCAGTCTATTGCAAATGATTTGGTTGGTTAAGAATTGGCCTCAAGAGAAACATGTGAAAAACGATTGTCCCAATATGTTGTCATCAGACACAAGGGTACCTTAGCATTCAGAATGGCAAAACTTATTGAGAAAAATTGACATAAATGGAATAATTCCAACTGCGGAAAAAAACTTTGAATTTATTGTAAAAATAATAGATTACTTTTTTCTATACCAGTATATGTGTAAACTCGTAAAGAAAGTTCCCGAATGGCATAACGTACACGGGGTATAAGCTTGCGTTCTCGGAGCTTATTACCGCTCTCGGTTTCTCTCTCTCTCTCTAGGCATACAATGCAGTTACATAAATATTAATTCATAGAGAAATTTATAAATATACAGTACATCGAGTAATTCCCGGCATTTTTCTCGTCTTTCACATCATTTTCATTCAGAATTTTACAATTCACACTTCATTGCTGCCATAATCTTCGGCAATCAATGCCGAATTGAACTCTCGTGTAACAGTATAATAACGTTCACTCATACTCAGCAACAGTGAGTGATATGCATACATATACATATGTATATTTGGATTAAAGTTTTTTATAAATACATATGTATACATACTCGTACAATGTATTGTGACACTACAAAAGTGAGGCAGAAATAGAAAGAATTCACAAAATTTTATTACAAATTCTCTGTTTTGCTCAACATTTATTCGCCTCCTCTTTAACGCAAGCACTTCTATTGCATTTCCCACTGTTTACTCGATATACCAACCACCAACCACCCACCGTCGCCACCTGCTGCATCCACAAATCACCCCAAACTGCACCCACTTAGCTGAAAATAACTTTGCGCCCGAATCAATAAATACACGAATCAACATTCGAAGTGAACAGCTGAGCAGCCGAAAGCAACGCAACGAGAGAGTTCGTGCGCTCAACTCGTGCGTACCTAAACACTCTCGCATCACCAACAAGCGGCTTGTTGTAGCCGATCGTGTCATCTATTCGTGTAACGTATATATGTACATATGTACAAAGATCGCCGTGTTTTGTAAAAGAGCGAAAATTACTTAGAAATTATTTTCAAAACTTTGTCGAATATACGAGTATTTGAAAATTTTCATACATTTCTATTCGGCAGCTTATCCCAGACAGCAGATACTCAACTCTGCAAATTATGTGCGCGGTGTACGACCGTGGACGGGATTATTCAATGTTGAAAATGGACTGTGCCGTTAGTCCAGTGTGTAATATTATTAGAAAATTTAATTTATTTTTTTTTAAATAAATAGAAAAGCATAATAGTTAACAATAAAAAAAAGGACTCTTAGTGGGTGAAAAGTGTTGCGAAATTTGTAAGCGGAAAATTTGTCGGTTTAAAGAGGTGAGCGTAAGAAGAAGAAGCACAAAAAAAAAAAGAAATACCAATCGATGTGGCTCAATTAACCGTTAGTGTCGCGGGCACATACATCCATACATACGAATACATACATCTATCACAGATAGTTGGCGTTTGAAAAGTCGGTGCTGATGCGTTGGCAATTTCCGTGAGTTTTCGTCATACATTTCGAAAATAAATCACCTGCGTTCACAAAATAATTCCAAAAATTAAAAAAAAAAAATCTACTCTTTCTTAGTGTTGCGCTGTATCTTTAGTGTTTCGAAAGCGAGAAAAACAAGAATGGGCAATCAACCAGGAAAATTGCAAAATCAAAATCAAAGCGGCAGACCAAAAAAAGTCGTGACTTGGAAATCGGCAGGTGAGTGAACGATTTATAATCGATTATAAATACATATTTATGCAGATAATATAATAGAAAAAATATTCAAATAAATTTCTTCGCAGCATATATGTAGACCACACATAACAGACATAGCATATACATATTTTGTATGAACAAATGTACATCCTAAAAATCCAATATATTGTGCACATCGGTCGGTTTGTCTTGGGTCAAACGGTGGGAGCGCTAGAATTGAGGTTATTTTTAGAAATTTTATACTCAAGTGGTTGGTCGGTTGGTTGGTAGGTTAGTCGCTTGCTTGTCTGCCCGTCAGCCTGCTTTCTTGTTTCCTCGCTTTTCGTTCCTTTCCTTTTTTTTTTTTTTTTTTTTTTTTTTTTTTTTTGTTGTCTGATTCCTCATTTCAACGGCCTGTGGCCTGTTATGTATAAAATGCTATGAAATCGTTTTTCGGGTGTTTATGAATGCGCATCATTCAAACGCTCTTTCACAGCGCTTTCACAGCCTATAAGATATGAGAAGACAAGTGGAAAGCATATGATAGTGGGGAAGCGCCACTGAAAGGTAATCGAAGAAAGTGGCGATTTTTCAAAAACAAAGGAATGGCATTGTTTGAAAAATAAATGAATATAAGAATACCGTTCGTTTATTCTAAACGTGAGAGAGTAAGAGATAGAGAGGGAAAGAGAGAGAGGTAGAGAAAAAGAGGTAGAAAGAGAGCGGTGCAGGAAGCACACGGTGCAGAAGTAATGTGAGAGTGCAACAAGTTGCAAGCACATTTTTTTAAGTAATGGGGGCGTGCAATGACTGATTACTTGAAACACTGTTATACGCTTTTGAGGTTATTTATATCGAGAAAGTCATAATAAATTTAATTTTTTTTAGTAATATATAAATAATTAATTAATTAATCTCTCCTACTTAAAATTCTGAAAAACCTTTCAATCTCATCCACCTGTAACTCGTTACGAGAGTCATGGAAATAACTACGCCTTTACGACATATAAGGTTGTCAAAATACTAAAAACTGTGAGCTTGTATTTGTATTGATCCTTTGTTCAGGTAGAAGCTGGTAATTTTTCAGCATGTGCTGAACTGTTTTGGTTGTCATGGTCTTATGAAAGATGAAAAAGGAATTCCCTGCTTCCAATAACTTGTCAAAGTGACCTTCTCAAGCTTTGGTATTTAGATTCATGAGCTAGTACTCACCAAGAAGATTCTCCAGCCTGAAGCTCCTGCAGATTAATGACTATCATTATTTTGATTCGCTTCAAAACATATTGGGACCGTACAGTGATATAGTTTCTGGACGTCGTGTAAAGGGTTTGCCTAAAACCAGAAAGGAACCTACAAGTTTTATTGGAAAATAATCTTCCGAAAAGTCTCTGTATGTTGAGTTGGGCATCCGAAGATGAAAGTGGTTCTGAACCGTTGACTCCCGCAGTGAAAGAGTAAACGAGCGTACTTCATATTACGTCGCATTCCTGCCACAGTGATCATTTCGGTGACCCAGATATGAGAAGTGATATATAAGGTTGTCAAATATCTCCCTTCCGCTTTTTTTTGCTTTTCATTCAATGCTTTATAAAAAGTGTTGCAGTGATCGGATTTTGTTAAAAGGACAGGAAGAGGTGGTAATCACTTGGCGCTACGTCCGGGCTATATGGTGGATGCGATAAAACCTCCCATTCGAGCTCGCGTTGCTTCTGACGAGTCATCAACGAAGTGTGTGGTCTGGCGTTGTCCTCGTGGAACACTACACCCTTCTTTTTGGCCAATTCTGGACGCTTCTGGTCGATCGCCTGCTTTAAGCGATCCAGTTGTTCGCAGTAGATGGTAGAATTAAGCGTCTGGCCATATGAGAGCAGCTCATAGTGGATGATTCCCTTCCGATCCCTTCCTGACCTTCCTGGCCGTCAATCCCGGCTTGGCCACTGTTTGGGACGATTCACCGGCCTTCGACCACGTCCGTTTTCGCTTGATATTGTCGTATGTGATCCATTTTTCATCGCCAGTCACCATCCGCTTCAAGAATGGGTCGAGTTTGTTCCGTTTCAGCAGCATTTCACAGGCGTTGATTCGGTCCAGAAGGTTTTTTTGCGTCAAATTATGCGGCACCCAAACATCAAACTTTTTTTGTATCCAGCCTTCTGCAGATGGTTCAAAATGGTTTGGTGAACAATTCCCATCTCCTGGGCGATCTCACGAGATGCCATATGCCGGTCTAACTCGATATATTCCATGATTTGATCGGCATTTGCCGTCACAGGTCTTCCGCCGGCTGGCTTATCCATGGTGTCGTTTTCACCGGCTCTGAATCGTCGAAACCATTCCTCCGCGGTTCGAAGTGATAGAGTACCATCTCCGAAAACACTATTAATCTCATGGAACGTTTCTCTAGCGGATTTGCCTTTAACGAAGGAAAACTTTAAAATAGCGCGAATTTCGGCGTTAGTGAACTCTTTGTTAACACGTCTATAACTGTTGAACGCAATATCCAAACTAATCATGCATAGCGTTGTTTTGTAGGTTATGTCAAGACCTTTCAAATTATGTATAGTGTTGCCAGATACGACAAAAAAGCGGAAGGGAGATATTTGACAACCTTCCTTATTGATATAGCATGCCTTTCTCTTGTTCTTCCCCTTAAGAGTTGTTTATTCTCTCCTAATATGCATACATACTTACTAGGGGATCGAAAAAAAGTCAGTAAGTTGCCCAGAAAAAAGAATAAAAATTATTTTTATATTTATTCGGAATCTTTTTCCTTTTTTATCTTCTCTACATAATCGTCATTGATTTCAATGCATTCCTTAAACCTATAGATCCACTTCTGAAGACAAAATCTTGCTTTTTATGCTTATCAAGTTCAGCATTAACCGCAATAGATCACTACTTTTGCTGCTGATTCTTGTGATTTTTGCTGCTTAGATTTTATGGGTGGATTTGTTCCTGTTGGGCTCCATACCATTAAATGCTGCTTGGTTTCTGGATCGTACTTATAGAACCAATATTCGTCACCAGTAGCGACTTTACTAAAGTCGATAGACTGACCATTTTCGAATTTGCTTAGGAAAAATTGAGCAAAAAGCACTCGAGCCTCTTTTTGGACCTCATTTAAAATTCACGGTACCCATCGAGCAGATTTCTTCGTGGATCCCAGAGGATTACTTAATATTCAGTATAAAGCTATGTAATTCAATACCAATTCATTAACAATAATTTCTTGTGTCGATCGTGAGTCTTCGTCAATTTTGGACTTCACCATAGCTACAGTGATATCATCAGTGGAAGATTTTGGTCGGTTTTCTCGCGGCTCATCTCCTACGGAAAAATATTCGGTCTGGAATCTTCGGAACCACTTAGAAATAGTCTTTAAAGATGGTGCAATCGTTCCATTTGCAATTTGGCATTCACTGAATATTTGTATTGGCTGTAAATTACACCGAAACTCGAAGAGGAGAATCACATGGCGAATTTCTGTTTGCTTTGGTGGTGGAATTTCATCTGACCCATCTCAGCTATCTTGTGTTTTCTAGTCTCCATTTTAGACGATCGTTCTAAAATTTGAAAGGAAGACTAATAAAGTAATTGCAAAGGATTTGGTATTTTTAGATTTAACAACAACAAATTGGAAGTCACCAACTGAGCCGAACTTTTTTTAATCCCCTGAGTATAAAGGATCAAGAGAAAAAAAGTCAGTGATTGGCGAGAGAGTAAAAAGAAGAATGTCGCTAGTAAGATCTTAGTAAGATTTGATTCCCTTGTTCTTTACCAAAGTCTACTGTCATGCTTTACTTCTCTAAAAGAGACTCAAGTCCACAGTTCACAGGACAGTTCCAGCATTCCAGTCGAGAATCCCAATTTCCGCAGACTTTTGCAGCATTGGGGTCGTATGCCAGTAAGGCAACAATCCTCTGCGTAAAAAAGCGCCGGAACCCTACAAAAAAAGAGTCCAACTGTTTTAAATCGCATGATCTTGGAGGTCACGTCACACACGTAAACATCCTTCGATTCAAGCACCAAAATGTCATTAATCAGGCGTCTAAATATATGGTAAACCCCTTAACTGTAACATAATGGCAGACTTAATTTTTGATGAAATATGGACCCCCCGTCCATAGATCATGTCAACTCTACTCTGCTCCGCTGAAGAAATTGCGTCTACAGTGCGCACTATACGGCGTAGATAAAGATGCCCCTAGTGTAAACGTGATGCGAAACTAATTCTTAGTTCGTCGTGTTACCGACTCTGCTGGGTGATTATCCCGATAGAATATTGAACGCAGTGCGCAATCTACGTTCTAAGTATCAAGCAAATCGAACCATGAATACAATTTTTCCGAATAGGCCCACATTCGGGAGAGAAAAACTGTTCCCGAGGTCAATTTAGGCCATGAGATAGCTCCGTACCTACCAAGTTCCATGTACGAGTACATCGAACAATTGAAAAATAAACGTCCAAATTCCGGAAAATACTTTCTTATCGGATGCCACAAACAGTGAGTTGGACCATCCGTTATTCAGGATATAGGCAGGGACAAATTTGCCTCGCTCTCCTGGCACTGTTCTCGAAGCACAAAAAGTAGACTGAACAAGAAGCATTGACGACGTTAGCTTTCGATGGGTGGTAATTTCGTGCGAATGGTTGAGAACTCTGCAACCTTGAAAGCATTCGATACTCGCTTGTGGAAGCAGAAGGTCTTTTGGAAAGATCAGGTGAAGAGCGACGAGGTTTCAATGGGTATTTTCAGTTTTTCCTCACTTGACTTAGAGCACTCTCCGTTTATAGCATTGTCAACACTTCAAGTGTGCATTAATTCTATCGTAAGTTTCTTTTTAACCAAAGTCTAACCAAAAGAATTTCCTTTTACAGAACGCCCCTCAGCACCTGGACGTCCTGTGCTCATTTCACTCTCCGAACAACAACCGGATGTCGTTAATTTGCGTTGGGAGCGTCCAAAACTGGACGGTGGTTCACCCATCACCGGTTATGTTGTCGAACATCGTCGCATGGGTTCGCCGCATTGGGTACGCGCTACACCCACATCTGTGTCACAATGTGAGGTGTCAATTAGTGGCTTAGAACCCGGTTGGCGTTATCAATTTCGTGTATTTGCTGAGAACATCGTTGGACGCTCCGATCCTAGTGAATTATCTGATGCACTTACCGTTACACTGCAACGCACCGCCATCTGTGTACCGAGTTTTATTGAAGAACTACAGGATCGTCAAGCCGTCGAAGATGAACGTATTGAATTTCGTGTGCGCGTTGTGGGTCAGCCAGCACCGGAAATTAATTGGTTCAAAGACGGTTATGAGATATTCAGTAGTCGACGAACGAAAATTTTAAACGACAACGACGTCAGTGTCTTGATTATTCATCAGGTGGCACTCACCGACGAAGGAGAAATTAAGTGCACGGCGACAAATCGAGCTGGCCACGTGGCCACCAAGTCTCAATTAATGGTGCAAGCACCGCCGAAAATCCGTCTGCCACGTACCTATGAAGATGGTCTTATCGTTGAGGCGGGCGAAGTGTTGCGCCTGAAAGTTGGTGTGGCGGGACAACCACCGCCAGCAGTTACGTGGCTGCATGAAGGCGAGGTAGTGCCTAATGGTGGACGCTTTGAAATTTCAAACACCGATCGCAATTCGCTGCTCAAAATCGACAGTATCCAGCGCGATGATCGTGGCGAGTACAGTGTGCGCGCGTGGAATCGGCTGGGCGAAGATGTGACCTCATTTTTGGTCACAGTCACCGCGCGTCCGAATCCACCGGGCAAAGTGCGACTCAACATGTCATTTGGCAAGTCGGCGACGTTATCGTGGACCTCGCCACTTGACGACGGTGGTTGTAAGATCGGCTACTATATTGTCGAGTATTTTCGTGTTGGTTGGAATGTTTGGCTCAAAGCGGCCACCACCAGGTCTCTCAGCACCACACTACATGACTTAATCGAAGGATCCGAATATAAGTTTCGCGTGAAAGCGGAAAACCCATATGGCGTGAGTGATCCTAGCGAAGAATCTGAAGTACTCTTCATTCCTGATCCGAAACGTGGTATTACGAAACCAAAATCGGAGACTAAATTGACAGAGGAGAAGAGTAAACCCGCACCACCACGACGCAAAGCCTTATCGCCACCACGTCCTCATGCCGATGCATCAACAGAGATATCACCCGGTGCGCTACGTAAGCCCAGACCACAATTACTCGATACAGAGGAGTTGCAACGGGAAATGTCTTATGGCACGCCCGATAAAGTACTAAAGTTAGATATACGTCGTAGTCCATCGAATCCACAGACAACACAAAAGTCCTCGCCGAACTCACCAAACTCTAAAACAGTGACATTAAACACGAAACTTTCATCCACACCGTCCCCAACAACGCCAACACCAAAGTCTCCACAGCGTTCACCGCTCGTTGAGAAGAAATCTATGCCACAATTCCTACAAACTTTTCTCCCGTCCAAAGACAAGTCACCTTCACCTTCGAAACAAAAAATTGCGCCCTCATTAGCAACACCAGAACCTGACCTGACGCCCGAGAAACCCTCCACACCGGAAGTAACACGCTCCTCATTACACCGCCGACGTAGTCTCAGCCCTCCACGCAAGAGTCCAACGCCACCGGAGGTGATCAACAAAACTCCAGCTCTACAACGTAGCGCTGAACCCGTACAATTGGGCGTTAATCAAACCGTTCGACGACTTTCTGGACACAGTCTTAGTCCAGCCAAAAATGCGCCAACACTGGCAGTAGCCATAGCAACGGGAGCTATGGGCACTATGAGTATGCAGTTGGAGAAATCGCCACAATTGAAAAAGAAAGAGCGGAAAGAAACAACAGAACGCAATGAACGCAATAAACGAGCTGAATTGTTTGAAACCACCGAACGTTTGGAGCGTACCGAACGAAAAGAGCGCCAAGATCGCAATGATCAATTCGTACACGCAGAAAGAGCTGGCCGCGAGGAAAGGATCGAACCAATAAAGAGGCAGCCAGAGGAAAAGGAAAAGTTGGTAGAGCTCAAGCGGTTAGAGCAAGTGGACAAGCTCGACCAAAACGAGAAGGATAAGCAGGCAGAGTGGATTCAATGGGTTGCCAAAGCGAATGGTAATAATGCAGCACTGCAAAACAAAAATCACAACAACAACGTGAACAACAACCATCAGAAACAAAATGTCTCGGCACTTACAAATCCCACCATTCAAATAAGCGCGCCACCACCGACGAAGACGCTCATTTCACCATCGCCCCCGAATAGTCCGCTATCGCTGGCAGAAAAACAGGATGACGTACACACCAGCAATGAGTTCATGTTAGTCGTCTTCGACAAGAATAGCAAAGTTAAGGATAAAAATAGTAAGTACACATCCCTAACTCCTCATGCGAATTTGTTTAAAATAATATTCTCTCTTTCCATGAGTAACAGAGCAAGACTCCTTTGAATTGGATCTCGAAGACGCACTACAACCACCACCAATTTCCATCTCTTCACCCGATCTCGCATCACTGGAATTTACCAATCTGCACACTTTCCCACTCCGTCGTTCTGTTAGTTCAACGGAGCTCTTGTACGAACGAGCCATGGCACGCTTTTACGAAGCTGTGGAATTGGAGGAAGCCGAAAAGTCTCGCAAGTTGCAAGCAATAAAAGATAAAGAAAAGCAAAAAGACGTGGCTGATAAGACTTTCGAGAAGGATTTGGACATACCAATTGCTGGCGGCGGCCTACAGCCACCTTTCGTGCGCAAACGTCTCGGCTCTATGACGGAAGCGGAGCGTCTATCGTTCGAGCGACGGAGTGAATTGCGTCGTCAGTCTGAAAGTTTTGTACAAGACTTCAAATTGGCCTCCGCACGTTGGGGCTCACGTGAAAACATCTCAGCCACAAAGCCACTTTCACGCACGACAGGCATATTACTCAACAAAGACGAAAGCCGTGAAGAAGATGATAGGGATGTGGAGAATTATGATTTTGAAGATTACGATGAGGAAGAGCTGCTAGAAGGTGAAGTTGCCAGTGGCTATCAGGCAAGAGCTGAACCTACGAAACAAGCCAGCTTTGAAATTGAATCAGATTACACTGAGAGCACGGCAAGCTCGGAAGATGACTCTATCGAAAAATTCAAAATGGAGCTGAGAGCGCGTACAAAAACACCAAGTCCGCCAAAAGCCAGCCCACCAAGAGATCATATGGAAACCTATCATCCGCGTAATATGTCCGCAGGCGTATTTACGCCTTACCGTGCACCACAACCGGAAAATGCAGCAATCGTACTCACGCGTCCGGCACCGCTTACCGATCCAGACTTTGTGCCGAAACCGATTTTGAAGCGACCGTCCAATGAGAATGTTCAACCACTTGTCGAGGCGGCGCTCAATAGTAATAATAACAACAACAGCAACAACAATGACAACAACAATACCAAAAATAAAAGTTTGGAGCATATAGAAAACATTAGCGACGACAGTAAACCCCAAACCGTCCAAAACACTGCCACTACCCATGAGAAGCCCGGTTTTGCTGAGAGCTTCATGTCATTCTTCAAGCGCGATACACGCTCGCATGCTGAGAAAAATGACGAAGAGCAAGCCAGTGTCAGTGATGTTACAGGCAAGCCATTACCTCTTAGCCCCACCGTGGTTGCTGCAGAGTTGGAGGCGCAACGAAAAGCCAAAGAGGCGGAGGAAGCAAAACGTCAAGAAGCCGAACGTGCAATGCATGAGGAAGCTTACGCCATCGTAGATCACTACAGCGATCTTGTGAGCCAGATAAGTCACACGCGCAAATACCACACACCCATCTATCTCGATAAGGAACAACTGCAAAAGGCCGGCGCACGTACGGACTACGATGAAGAAATGCGTCAACGTCGTTCACAATCACCCGAAGGTGGTCTTATACCACCCGTTAGCAACAAGCCGCGTCTCTCGATATCCGAACGTGGTCAATTAGTACATGTACGTGAGACTGGTAGTGGCATGGCCTACACAGAACAACCCAAAAGCAATGTGCCCGATACACCAACGCCAAGTGAGGACAGCTCGCAAGCTGCATTCATATTACCAGCCGTGAGGGTTAACAAACCGCCCGCGTCTAACAGTAAGATCGATATCACTACAAAAGCTATACCCTCACCGAATGTGTCGGAACTGCTGGCCAACGATGACAGCACCACATCAGAGATGATCAGCGAAACCACATACGAACGCCCAGACTCACGCGGTCGCACTCGCATTGTCAAAGTTAAACGTATCATTAAGAAACGGGTGCCCTCGCGTTCGCGTGATGCCTCTTTAAATCGGCCCCCCTCCAGCGCTGCATCACAACAGGATATCGATTTAGACATGTCCACCGAAGCGCAATCGCCGGTGAGAAGACGTGTGCTCTCACGTACACGCACCTCAACCGGTCAATCCAAGTCGCCTGGCCCATTTAGCAGAAGACCACTACCAACGTCCGCTGGTGCGCTGCCGACACCGCCGGAAGTCTTACTCGCCATGACCGCCAATGAGAAGCTGGAGGCAAAGAGTGTCGAACAACTCGAGGAGGAGGCACATGAAAAAGTGCGCTCGGCTTTGAGTTACTCCACCGACTTGGTGCTATTCATGGTCGCTTGCTATGTTTATCTCTTCAAGGATGCCTGGTTAGTCTTACCCATACTCTCCTTGATGATCTACAGACAACTGGGAGACTTAATTAATGATTGCATACCGAAATGGATGAAACGGAAAAAGAACTGATACGGAGATATGACAACAACGCAAAGATAGTGGCTCCACAAAGACAAGTAATCACTGGATATACCAAAGAGAAAATAAAGATCGTACCGAAACACAAAATGGTTGCATTAAAATTTATATATAATTTGCCGGATTTTCAATTAAAAGCAAAGAAAACACGTCGTAGCAGTTGCCCGGTCCTTGGCGAATATTTTCAGTGAGAGAGCGGTAGAGACAGAGAGTGTGAGAGAGAGAGAGAGAGGAAAAGAGTTCACTAAGACTTCTCCGTTTACGAAAGATAACAAGAAAACCGAAATGTTCGCCAAGGACCGGGCGAACTCCAACAAAAACACTTTGCTTACAACTAAAAAGCGCATAAGTTCATATTCAACGATTTTCAAAGTTTATAATTTAAAACTTTCATAAAATTAAAGAACTCTTTTTCTTTAATATTTAAGTTTCTACTATTATTAATCATATATGTGTATGCATACATACATACATATGTATGTGTATTTGCAAAAAAAAATTATTAATTGGTGTTATGAATATAAAATTGGTTACAAATATATTTATTGAAAATATTAAAATATATTTATAATAGAAAATATTTCATGAATACATACATACATACATATCTCAAAATAAAATATTCACATAAAAAAATCATTTATGTCATTTCTCTATGTTACCCCCACTGCATCAATAAATGGGGAAATCCATATACCAGAGGATTAAAAAAAGTTCGGTAAGCTGCCCAGAAAAAAAAAATAAAAATTATTTTATATTTATTCGGCATCTCTGTTCTTTTTTATCTTCTCTACATAATTGCCATTGATTTCCATGCATTTCTTCAGCCTGAAGATCCACTTTTGAAGACAGTCCTCAAAATCTTGCTTTTTAAGCTTATCAAGTTCAGCATTAACCGCATTAATTATCTCCTCGTTGCTATTAAAAACACTTCCTTTTAAATTCTTCTTAATCACAAGTTCCCATATCCGGGAAATATGGTGCTGGACGTGTTTCTTCGATCCCAGAGAACGCAATAAAATTACTCTTTATTTCAGCAATGTGGCATGGCGCATTGTCAAGATTTGAAAAGTACCTCCGCAAACCTCTTTCTTCCTGTTTTCCAGCAAAATTTTGAAAACTTTTGGTAAGCACTCTTCGGTGTACCCTTTTACAGTTATAGTCTGACCCTCCCAGTGGAATAGCAACTACGATTTTAGATCGGATGAAGTAAACCGACATCATTACTTTTGCTACTGATTTTTGTTGCTTAGACTTTACGGGTGGGTTTGCTCCTGTTGGGCTCCACACCATGGACTGCTGGTTGGTTTCTGGAACTTGCTTATAGAACCAAGATTCGTCACTAGTAGCGACTTTACTACAGTTGCTGGACCGACCATTTTCGAATTTGCTTAGGAAAAATTGAGCAAAATGCACTCGAGCCTCTTTTTGCGTCTCATTTAAGATTTGTCTTACCTATCGAGCAGATTTCTTTGTGTATCCCAAATGATTACTTAATATTCGCGATGCAGCCATGGCATTCAAGCTCAATTCATTAGCAATCATTTCTTGTGTCAATCGTGGGTCTTCGTCAATTTCAGACTTCACCAGAATTACAGTGACGTCTCCAGAGAAAGATTTTGGTCGGCCTTCTCGGGGCTTGTCCTCTACGGAAAAATGTTCGGTCTGGAATCTTCGGAACCACCAACCAATTGCACCGAAAACCGAAGAGAGTCACATAATGAATTTCTGTTTGCGTTGGTGGTGGAATTTCGTCTGACCCATCCTAACTTGCCATTTCTCACCTCTATTTTAGCCGATCGTTCTAAAACTCGAAAGGAAGACTAATGAAGTAATTGCATAGGATTTGGTGTTTTTATGTTTAACAAAAACAAATTGAAAGTCACCAACTTAACGAACTATTGTTAATGCCCTAGTACAAACGATCGAGAGAAAAAATGTCAGTGATTGGCTCCACGAAGTGGACCAGGGACTGACCTATTTGAAAAAAATTATATTTAGAGTTCGAGGTGATTTTATGCTTAGATTAGTGGTATTTTTTACCTAGATTAGCACAAGGCTCTTCTTCTCTCCGAGGAGTAAACCAAGGACCGCACTATTCGAAATGAATTTCCCAAGGTGGAGGAATGCTGAGAGGAAGCAAAATCGAAAATCGGTGCGTCTTGTTAAAGTCAGTGAATGGAGTCTTATTCATGAACCTCTCTAAGCGCAAAGACGACCAAAGAAAGCCGTCAACTAAGTCTTGAAACCCATAATCAGACGGCATGAGCTTTATGAGGAAGACAACTCTTAGGGGCTTTTTTATTACCACTGCCAGTACACCACCAACTCAATATCTTCAATAGGCACATCATAGAGATTTCCGAAACACAGAAATACACCGAGAAAATGTCAAAAACTTGCATAAACTGCCGAGGCCCTAAGACCAGATGGAAATTTCTTTCAGAACACAGCCCGAATACGTTAGATGGCAGTGTAGCTTGCTTAATCTTAAAGATGGTAGGCACCAATTGAATCCCTCTTATATCATACTCAGAACATACAAGACTAGGTCGGTTACTGTAATCAGAGGATCTTGCCTTCCCTAGGGTCTGGAGCCCTACTGCTCTGCTCCACTTCATCAGAATGAAATGACACTTGGGCTGAAGTACCTTAAAAAGGATATAGGAATCATGCTCGACATAAGGCCAACACGGCTAACCGCCTAAAGGTCTCCAGACTATGAAAGACAGGGTATACTGCCATACCGGAAGTTATAAAATATTTAGGGCTGAGCGTATAATGTGGCAGGGAAAGGTAAATCCTGTGACAGAAGCAAGCCAAATGAAAGTAACAAGCGGAAGATAATGCTATTGATAAGAGTAAAGATTTGATATTCATATCTATATGTTGGTGAGCTAGATCCAGAAGCAGAATTCTTCTGTGAGGACCCTAATTACCGGCTCGTGCTAACAGCGCTGGTGAAACAGTCTAAGTTCTTTAAATGTGATTTCCAAGGAAGTGGAATCGTATTCCCCAAAAGGTATGGATCACGTCCAATGTAGACCGTACGACTAAATTACTGTAATGTACCGTAGATTCCAGAGAGACCAAATATTCACCTGCAATACTCAATAAAGAAAGAAATATTCATGAGGAAGAGTTGGTGTGCATCTACCCTTTGGACTTTATCTTCACAAACTGGACAGACGACATTCACTGTGTGCATAGCATACACAGAACAGGACGAAAGCCTAGACCACTGCGACTGTCCGGCCTTCAGCTCATTGAGACTTGATCTTTCTGAAGGAGGCACAGCTAAGGGTTTTTAGTCAGCAGTAAGAATAAGTAAGCTCAGGATGAACGACAAGTTAAATCTTAATAAAAAATGAATTGTCTTAGGCTAAGTATTATCTGGGTAGCCAATAAGCATGCGTTTGGAGGTAAGCTGAAGTGGGAAGGCGAACACCTACCTGTGGTTCATACGCGCCCTATGGAAAGCTGCTACAATAAAACAGTACTGCAAAAATCTCATATAGGAGCTACCACTTTTGAAGACGACCCACACAAAGGTTTTCAGTATAGCGATTTCTTTGCATGCGCGGGAAATGTTAAACTGGTTAATGTATTACGAGGAGTGACAATTAAGTAATGAGACTGATTCCATAAAACCCGTATATTTCAAGATTATTCTACAACTCTGCCTATACAACGAATCCAGCGCGTTTTCCATGCTTCGTAACATTTCTGCAACGCTTCGACTGGGATGACCGCGAGTACCTTCGTCACGGCCGCCTGGATGTACTCAATCGACTCGAAATGGGTTCCTTTGACTACCGGTTTTGTTTCTAGGGAACAAAAAAGGTCGCAGGGGGACATATCGGGAGAATTAGGCCAAATACTCGTATGAAATCTAATACCGACAACGCCGCCGTCCAAGAAATGTAATAGATGGGTCAAGCTCGCAAGAATATGGACCTTTGGATTCGTGGTGGGAGAGAGACTTCGTTGCGAAGTACTGACATTCACCACGATGAATGAACGTTTGGTCACAAACCACATAAAAAGGAAGTTCTTCAATGTATGTATATCCGCTTTGTGTTCTAGCGCCGATAGTAGAGAAGGAATATGTGATCAAACATGCTCCCCAGTGCGTCTAAAATGAACCTGCTGATTCGGGATTTTTCCGCCAAGCAAGACAAAGAAATTGCATTTAGCAAAACGGTTGGAAAACTCAGTATCTTTGATCCAAATGAGGCTGAGACTCAAGCATTAATTTCGCTGGTGCGGGAACTATGGTTGTATTTAGTGAGCCAGATTCTCTCACAAAAAGTTCATTGAGCTACATGTTAGTCACCGGGTCATCTCGCAAACAAATCGATCATTTTGTGTTAAACGGAAAACCTGTCTCAAGTATTGTAGATGTGAGTATGTTCCATGTTGGAACGTTCCATCATCTTACCTCAACAAAGATACATATCCCCCTCTGTGCAGAAAAGCCTGCCTGCCAACAAACATAAGGATGGTTCGATGTTGAGAAGCTTCCATCAAAGCAGCCAGCTCCTTTTCTACTCCACTGCAGTCTTCCTCTATTCGAGCCAAGTCAAAAACTCGACTTGAATGGACCGAGGAACGGTACCACCGTACCTCACACTGTCAAACTGCTAAAGCGGGATCCTAGACACATACAATCGTCTTAAATGCGGCGGTTATCCGTTTGGAAAAGCTATTTTATTTTCAATTTCCGAATAAAAGATGATAAATTCACATAATCAGTTTTACTTTTATTTGAAGTTTATTTAAATTCGTTAAATTTTTGTTTTTAATATCTATACACAATCACTTCGATTCGTGAACAAAACGGTATTACGTTTACCGTTTATCGTTTACCCAAATTCATTTGTTTTCCACACCGAAAGTCAGCCAACAACTTTTCCACAATTAAACCACAACTGCATTGGGAACTGCTGCAGCAGCCGGCGCACTAACAGCACCATCACCTGGAGCAGTCACGCCTAATTGATACCAATCAAACAACGAACGAATGAACTGATCGACTTGGGCAACATTCACACCATTTTGTTCGAGTTGTGCAACGATACGTTTCGATTCTGGGAAAGCCAATACACGTTCATAAACCGGCGCTAAAGCCTTCAATTTAGTCCAAAATTGAGCGAGACTGCCACCTTGTATTACCTTAGCATCGATTTGGGCGCGTAACATCTCGTGTGGGAAATAGGCGAGAAATTCATTGAAGAAACCCTGCCAACCATATACCGACCAATAGGGTGTGGGTCTGAATAGACTCAAAATCTCCTCAGATTCTTCAAACTCCAATGAGCCGCCACCGGACAACAACAGCTGGGAGCGTACCCAAGACAGGAATTGTATGATCTCCGGTTGTGCGTAGAGACGCATGCGTACCATGTAAGCATCGTGTGAATTAATAATACGTATAGCGGCTTGAAATTCAGCATCGTTGAGTAGATAACGTATGACCAGTTTATTAATAGGTTTGGCGGGTATAAGACGATACAACTCTTCGAGATCCTGCGTAAGCGTTGCTGGTGGTGGCACTGGTGCACCAGCGGCGGGCGCATTAGCCGGTTTCAAGGCCCAGCTGCAGCTGAAACTACAAACCAGCGCCAGGGTGATGAGGAAGCGTTGCATTTTCGCCACTTTTTCTGCTCTCTTGCTTTGTCGAGTTTTCGTTTGGAAATACTTTCGTTTACTGTATGCGCTTGGCACCGGCGAGGAGGCTTTTATACGCCACATTTATCAAGCGAGCAGGTGATAAGGCTTTGGAAATATTGTACATACACGTACAAGCAAACAATTTCTAGCAGCTATCTCCGCCCTGCTCGCCTCGGCGAGTGTCTACCAGCGCCGAGATTCTGATGGCCACTTGACAGTGATGGCAAACATTTAAGTGACTTTGGCGGTAAACAGATAAGCTGAGGTAAGTCCATTTCAAGTAATTCTAACCTGACTGTATGTATATACGTATGTATGCCTGGGCGTATTTTAGTTTAGCAAAACCCATGGTTGCACGTCGCTTTTTGTTATTGTTTGATTTCGGTTAGTCACCATTTAGCTTATTTTATTTTGAATAACGGAAATATTTCTGTTAAAAAATATTCACTGAGTTTGCATAGAACCGTGACGTAATCTTCTCTCGTTTATTTGTTCACTCCCACCACCTCTTCCACCCTCCAACCGGAACAACCGGCTCACTCGTCTATTTCTATGTTGTAATATTACGGTACTTTAGCTTACAGTTACTTGCGAAAAATACCGTTGTCTGGGAAAACTTAGACACGTGAGTTTGTCAGCCGACTGCAGCAAAAGAGGCACGTGCTGCGATGTTCGGTATCCAAAAATATTTGTTTTTGCGCAAATTCCAATTGTTATCTTCTTAGACATTCCAACCCTCTAGCGCGATATTATTTGTCGCATTAAATCATTTCACGCCAATTGTGGTGTCAAGCTACGCCGGTTGGGGCCGTTGCTTTGAAGATGTATCAAGTCCAATAGTTATTATTGTAAATTGCTCTCAGCCGATAGACTAAATGACTGCTGGAACGCCTTGCAGGGAGGCTGCGAGTTTCTTATAAGAGAGCTGCTGCTTGGACGCTAAAGAAAAACGTTGCGGTGGTAGTACTGGCCACTTCAGTTATCATTACAAAACTATGGTTTAAATATTATCAAAGTTCTTTCTTGGTTAATCACTTCAAGCTGTCTTTCAAACTGCCACACATTGCTGTGAGCCGAACCGGCATACAACTATGAGACCTGTTTACCCCTTTAGTGACTTAGAATCCACAAAACTACGTAGCTGAAAGATAATTTCTGCTATGCCGCCCCTCCTCGGCTCTGATAGTGAGGTTAGTGCATAAAGCCTCCAGCTCATTTGGTAGATGCAAGGTGAAACCCGATGAAAACGACGGACCCTCTGCAGCCCAGGCGAGTTAGTGGCTCAAGAAATTACTGTCGTAAGAGGTGACTTTCTACCGGAACGACACGGATTTTTATCCGATCAAGGACTGTCCCTCCCGCAATATTCCCTGAAAATCAATTCCAGGAATATCTTGTTGTTACAACAACAACAACAACAACAACGGAGTACAACTTAGATCTGGATACAGTACCAGGTTAAACTCTTACTTATCCAGACTCGACCCTAACATACCCATGTAATAAATATCCCCACGACACAAACCACCTCTTTACATGCCCCCTGAAACCGACGCATCTAACCTCCCTCTCCCTCTGGTCCGAACCCGTCGAAACAGCTCGTTTCCCAGACTTCCCGTTAGATGACCTCGGTGACTTGGACTAACTAGCCTGTCGCTAGTCGGGGATAGTGAGACGCTACAACAACAACACGGACCACCTGCGGGTTAGGGCTTTAAAAAAAGCTCCCGCGACAGTTGGGTTCAATAACTTTCTCTGTCTCAGTCCATCAATCATTACATTGCTGTGGCTTTTACCGTAGTAGGACTAATATTTGATATACACTTTTGCTCCTTCAAAGTCAGATGTGCAGCCCTAACTATTTCCGTGCAATGGGCAGGGTTAAAGGACATCTGGCCAAAGATTAAAAATCTCAGCTGTCCACACGAACTCGTTTAGGAGCTTCTAAAGCTATTTAAGGTTTTTAGGGTCAATCAACGGTAGGCAGGGGAACGACCAAAAGGAGAATAATGTCAAATGAACGTTTTAAGAGACATACACGGTGGTGGTTATTATTGGAACTAACGGTATGTAGAACATATGTTGGGTATATGGGGTCGAGTATGGATAGTTACGAGTTTAGTCTGCAACAATAACCAGTACTTAATTCAGTCCCATGGGCAGTTCGAGCTATTCGTCCGTAATGGATGGTGTTGTGATTCCAAATAACCTTCGCGGGGAGAGAATTACTGAAGATAAATGCCGCTTAAGGCTTTTCTTCTAGTTGTTACCTCTTCCGATATCAAGCACTATCTTTCTGGTCCTGGAGGAAGATTCGAGATGTAGATAAAAAATTAAATAATTGCTGAGCGAGCTTCAAATTTTGGCCAAGAAACTCTACCGATGACTCTCAATTGCCATCCATCTTTCAACGTCGCAGTAATGAGGATTCCCCAATATCCGATAGTAGCACTGCTTGGTTGACCGTATCAAAAACTTTAGACAAATCCAGTGTTACCGGGGCGGTTCGTGTGCAGGGTCGACCGAAAGAGCAAGGCACTAATTATCTCCGTCTTTTTCAGAAAGGTAATATCGGTTAAAAAAAATCTACTCTATCTGCACACATCGGGTAATGTGGTCAAAGATGAATTGATTTGACGGAGACCCAAAGCCTGTTTGCACCAGATAACTAGTCACGAGTGATGCATAGAATAGCACACAATTCAACGAAACAAGAGCAAGAATTGCATCTGACGAATATCACATTTTAAGCTAATATGGTCCGACACACGGAACAGACATTGTGGGGTACTACGATGTGCCGAAGCTGAGTCCAGGTCGAAGGCAACGACATAGAGGCTTGGAACAAAATTGAACGGTGGCAGCTGAGGCCACGTGACGAATTTAGACTAAAGTTATCTGTTGACCTAAACGGGGTTAGGTCGCCGAAAGGGTGACAGCCCTTGGCCGGATAAAATCCGGGTCAACTCCGGTAAATAGAACCGGCTGTCGTGACGACCCTGACACAACTCAGGTCTGGATACTGTAGCAGGTTAAACTCCTACTTATCCAGACTAGACCCCAGCATACCCAACGTATGCCCTGCATGTGGAGAGTCTCCGCACGACACTAACGACCTCTTCACATGCCCTCTCAAACCAACTCATCTAACCCCCCTCTCCCTTTGGTTTGACCCCCGTCGAAACAGCTCGTTTCCTGGACCTACCATAAGATGACCTCGGCGACTTAGACTGACCAAACCTGTGCCTAAGCGGGGCTAGTGAGCCGCTACAACAACAACAACAGCAACAGGCCACGTGACGCGTATATGTACCACAGTGGTCTTAACTTAAATTAAGATGACCTCAACCATGACTTCATCCGTCGGAACACGATTGGGATCAACACCAGCCCGGATGAGAGAACCCACGTTAGGGGCGCAAGAGTTTACCCGTGGTAAGGCATGCCTATCGTAAAAGGTGACTAGAATCCAATAGCTCCGGTGACAGTCGGGTCTTTATGCCGGAACAACCCGAATTTCTATCCAGCCAAGCACACTCACTCTCGCAAAATTCCCCGAAAACCAAATCGTGAAAATTTTTGCGTCTACAACAATAGAAGTCCAGTGTCTAGCGCAAGTAAAATCTACTAAGCTCATACCTATCCAGACTTGATCCTGACAAAGCGAATAGGTATGTCCAAATGCATGCAATGAATCCCCGTACGGGACTAACCACCCTCTCCCCACAGGTACGAACCCGTCGATGCAACTCGTTTGATAGAGCTACCGTTAGATGGCATCGATGACTTAGATTGAGCTTGTCTGCTACTAAGCGGTGCTACCAAGCCGAAAGGGAGACAGCTCTTGGCCGGATGAAATCATGGGAAGTCTGGCCGCTTTTCTGTTAAGGAATTTCGTACTAATAACTGAAAACACTTTTTTTGTTATGGGGTAAATACATATTTGCCTTATATTTCGTGTTACCGTTATTTAACTATACGTATATAGTTATCGTGAAGTTGAAACATAAATGTATACATATTTATACACGCGTGTTATTTCGAAACAGAATATGCTCGTTAATATCAAACATAATTCATTCGCTACTTACACACATATACTGCATATGTATGTATATAAGTACATATTATATTTTTACTAAAACTTCGGCTAAAACTCCGTTGTAAAATAACCAAACGGCAACTAATTGACTAATTTTCTAAATTTTTTCTATGGGTGGGAGGGGGAACGCTTAAAACTTGGATGCTTCGCGTTTTTAACGTATGAAGGCATTTTATACTTTAAGATTGCCTAATTTCTGTGATACGTTTTTGGTGTTGGCTGGCGCTTTTTTATTTTTCTTTATTGTGGTATGATTGGCTGCTGCCTTCGGTTTCTTGACGACCATGTCCTGATGTAACTCCTTCAAGTTGGCATCGATCTTCTCCTGCTTATTCTTAACCACCTCTTTGATCTACAATTGTGTTGTACCGGTAATGAGATATTTTAAATATTACCCTTTTTTCATTTCTTGTCAGCATAATTAATTTACCTTTTTCAATTTACCCTGCACTTCTTTTGGTTTCTTCTTATTTTTGGCTTCATTAACTTTGAAAATGTTCTTATCTTTCTTGGACTTATTAATGGCAGTCTTAGCTGATGCAGCACCCTTTTTGCCACCGCCCGTTTTTGATTTCCGTCCCATTTTTTTATCACTGAAATTTTTCCAAAAAAAAATATAAGAAATTTAAAAAAATTACATACGAAAGGGATAGGAAAAGCAAAAAAAAAGAAAATCGCATGGCTTGGATTTAATAAAATTTTATTGAGTTCATAACTCTTATTAACTATCAACATTTCACTTTATTTGCTATATTTAAATCTTCTTCGAGTAAAACTGACGCCGCACGCTTCAATTGTATTTGCTGGGAAGTTGCTTTTGCAGTTGTCAGTAAAATATCTTTCGTTAAACGAAATGACACACGATACATATCCTTTTTAGGCGCCACATTACGCACAAAATGAATGCCTTCTAAGTTTTCCCCCAGTGGTAAGCCCAAATTTTCTTCAACTATTTCACGCACACGAGTTTTCGTGTCCTCGCCTTTAGCGAAGGAGTATACATGTACAGTTGGGTAGTTTAGTGTTTGATTTAGAAGCTCCTTCGCCTCATCAGCATTTAAGAACCCGCGAAAGACATCAAGAAACTCCACCGCCATAGCCGGTAGATTCATTGTAATGTGTATTTGGTAATTCTTTGTATTGTCTTCCTTCCAACGTTTCAACAAATCTGGCTTAACATCTTCGAGTAGAAAAGCACGTCCATCCTTATTGAATGTTTTCATATGCGCCAAACACTTTTTACGCTTGCCATTGTGCTGTAACCATTTATAACTCTCTGGATTGAGATCATTCGCAAGTACCCAGCATTTTTTATGCGCCGCCGGCACACTAAATGGACCAACACCCGCAAACACGTCATAGAGTACATCATTTGAGTTAAGCATTTTCGTTATACGTTCATGTTCGGTGGACAATCGTGGATTCCAGTAGACGCGCGAGAAATCAAACTCAAACAAAATACCATTTTCTATGGTCTCTACTTGATATTGTTGTTCGCCACATATAAGCTCCATTTGGAAATTGCGATAGGTGTTATCTATTGTTGCTGCTTTATTAACAACAGTGCGACAACCGGGAACTTTGTCCAGCAACACCTGACCAATAAGGTTTTTATAAGGCAATATATGATCTCTGAGATTTAAATGCACAATGTGACCGATGCGCGAATAAGAAGTGAGTCCTTCATCTTCAATTGGCAGTACGCTTTTGAAAATTTCATCTGCGCGCCAATTATCGTAGTTAAGTTCCAAATCTGCATAGTAGAAATTGCCTGATTCAATATTGTGCTTTTCCAGCTCAGCTGTGGGTAGGCAATCCCATGATTTTACTGCCAAAGGATGTAACAATATTTCACGCATCGTTGACTGTATATCGCCTTCTATTTCGGATAACGGTCGCACTGGACGCAACTTCTCCATCTTTAGCAGTAATTTTTTTAACAACGGCAATACTTTGTTTGAATCTCGTTCTGGTACACGCAGTCGTGGCAATTTTATTTGTTTTCTGAACGCTTCACGATTTAGTTCCAGCATTCCTCGTACTTCTTCTGGCGGTTTTAGGAGTGCACAATCCATGTTTTTCCAATAATGACGGTGTCGTCTAAATTGCTGCAATAAATCATGAGCCCACGTGAGACGTCGAAGCGCAATCATTAATTCAGTGTGAACTCAAAGCGCAGACCATTAAAATGCTCATAAAGTACAAAATTTGGACAAATTTTTTTTTTTATATTTTATTGAGTATTCTAAATTTAATTAAGTTTTAAAATAGTTAAATGCGACATACTATGTAAATAATATTTTACCTTTCCAGCGTTGCAAAATGTCAAAACCAAATGGATTGCTTCTTCTTTTACAGTACCACTCACAATGAATTAAGGTGTTCACAAATGAGTCCATCAAATGGGAACAGTTGCTTCCATGAACTAGATCACGCAAGGCGGATGCGTTTTTTGGCGATCCACTTTAAGAAGAAGAATGATTAGAACCAAAGAACGTTTTGACGTTTTTTTTTTCTTTCAAAAACTTATTTTTGTCAACGTTATTCCTGAAAAAAGACGGGTGTCAAATTGTACTCCAAAGTGATATAATTTAAAAATTCTGCTCATTTCAGGTATATATCTTGAACAAATCATAATGTATATGCGAATATAACTGAACTTTTTCTCACCATTTCCAGATTGTAATAGATGAAAATTCTTTCCAAGTTCGCAATCTTCTTTAAAAATATCAACCTTGTCTTTTATTTTGAAAAATTTCCCCGAAAAATTAAAACAAACGCAAAATTCCGTTTGAATATTTATTTGAAATTCTTTTGCTTATATTGACTTGCTGCAAACATAAATTATTTAGAAAGATTAAATTAAGCATTATGTGTAAAGCGACTTTGAAGTGCAAAATAAATGCATATGTGTGTGCAGTGTAATCTTTTAAATATTAATAAATGTATGCAAACACACATATTTATGTAAAAGCAACGAAAACTAAGTAACTAATTTATACAAAAAACAACACAACTTAAACATAACAACAAAAAATACATATGGATATAAACAAAATGCCCAACGTTGCAAAATGCGCTTCAATATCGCCTGGCGGTGGTTGGACGTGGTACACCCGATGTGCGCGGACGTGCCGACTTTGTACGCACCGGATTTGTTACACCATCGGTATTGTAGCTGAGATAAACATGTGAAAGATCCATAAATTCCTGCTTATTGTTGGTCTCTTGTGGTTCTGCGATGTGTTTTCGCATATTATTGCCGGTATAAGCGACACATTTTAACTGCCATTCTCCAATATCTTCATTCCAGTGAGTATACTGATTAATCATTGACTGATATTCCTTGGGTATGTAGGAATTAAGCACCAATTCGCAGAGCGCCAGCTCGCGCGATAAACTGCGTATGTTCTCATATATGCCTTCCTTTTCACGTTGGTGCTCCTGCTGCTGATCAGCCAATTCGGATTTGACGCTCATTAGCATTTGCATAACACGGTGGATTTTCTTGGTACTACCAGTGCTGGCCTCCTGTAGGGATGAGTAGCGTTCCTCAATATCTATACGTTCAGTTTCCTTCTGTTGCAATGTCTGCTGCAAAGCCTTCTCAGCTATTTCACGCTCTTCTAATTCTGCCAATGATTGTTCAAGCAATTTTTCCTGTGTTTGTGCTTTCTCCAACAAATTTTCGCCGCCTACTAAAATTTTGCCTTCAAGGGACATGAGCTTACTACGCAATTGCTCCTGTTCTGATTTAGCATGTTCAATTTCTTGTTGATGTTGTTGTGCACGACGCTCTTTCTCCTCTTTCTCAGCATCTGCCTTCTCACGTTTCTTCGATTTTTTGCCATTAACAGCGGGTGTTTCTTCAACTTCTATTTCAATATCGGCTTCATCATCATCTCCATCGTCGTCCTCTTCTTCGGAAATTTGATCTTCAAGACTATTTTCTTCAAGTTGTTTACGCAAACGTGCAATCTCCTCTTGAAAATGTCGTAGCAAGGCATCCTTTGGTTCCTCATTAACACGCATACGATTCTGTATATTCTTAGCGCGACTCGCGTAGCGTAGTGTGGAAATAGTTTCCATATAATTGATGTCTGATGGACTAATAGTGGCGCACATTACGGTTTTCGAATTACCACCCAGCGAATCCTGTAGCAAGCGAGTAAGCTTTGAATTGCGATATGGAATATGGGTGCTTTTTCCATCTACGAGTGCACTAATGACATTACCCAACACCGAAAGTGATAAATTGATTTTAGTTGCTTCCTTCAAACGTTGACCGCTGGCTTGTGTTCTACTTTGACGCTCAGAACCAGCCAAATCCACCAATTGTAATTTGCCCATTTTAACATTCGTCATATCACCTTGACACAATTCACTGCTCTCTACTGTAATCGAAAATATGGCATGCGAACGTGATGACTCTTGGTTCATCTTAGTAGCGCCAACAACACGGTTTTTATTACCCAAACGCATTATATTTTCTAAATCATCGGCATTATGCACTACATAACCGCTTAAGTCTTTAACAAATACACCAATATCTGGACGCTCCTTCACCTCTAGACTCTTGCTTACATCTTTACCTAACAAATCGCGTACTTCTTCATTGTATATCTCCATGTAGCTAACACGTACCAAAAATTTCTGATTTTCTCTTGCTTTTGCAATATGTCCGAAAATATGTGCAAATGCATTGGGTATGATACCTTTCGTTTGCGGTGAATCAGGGTTGCCTGACATGGTATAAGTTTTACCCGTACCGGTTTGGCCGTAAGCAAAGATTGTGCCATTGTAACCTTCCAATACTTTTTCTACAATCGGACGTGCCGTATCCACATACAAATCGAGTTGATTGGAGTCACTACAGAAAACATTATCAAAGTAGTATGTCTTTGGTGGCTCATTGGCGGCGTTTGGCTTTACCGCTGTGATGGCCCTATTGATTTTATCCACTTGTATGACATTAGTTGCACCACAATTTATTTCGGATTTCTCCATTGGGCGTACACGCACAACAACCCTCACATTTTCAATTTCATCACCTTCCGATCCGGCGTTGAGTATTTGTGGTTCTTGGGGCATTTTTTTCTTTTAATTTATAACTTTATAAAATGAGTACTTTTGAGAAATATTTATTTGTAGAGAAACTGCAAAGATATAAGTTTTTGTTATGCGTTACCATGAACTGTTTATTGATTTTCTGAGCAGCTGACTAATGTTTTTCCTATTCTTTGCCTTTTCGTGGCATTTGTTCCCACAGCTGGGGACAGCTGACCATGGGAACGAAAGTTGCAATCAAGTTTGTGAGTTTACAGTCTGGTAAATATTTTTGAAAATATTCTAATTTAATACTGTCATTAAGTATTATTTAATAATATTTACAGATTTAGATACGAGTGTTGAATGTAATATTCTTCATACAATTGAAAATAATACTTAGTTACTTTAGTCAACTGTTTTACTTGTGAATAGCTGGGAATTTCTAGCGTGGAATTTCATTACTGCTTATTAAAATAATTTTTTTTTTTATTTGATGTTAAGTACAACACCATATGTACAAAAAGAGCCTTTTAATTTTGGCAAAATTTTTGAAATGAAATAAATGCAACCCCCAAAAAATTATCCTGCCTGCAATGAAGCTATCTCTTCCATTACTTGATATACAAGTGGGTAACATTTGCTTGGCTTTGAACATAAATCTACAAATACATGTACACTTCTATTTTAGTGTTTCATTCGTCAATGTTTATATGCGTGCAATTCTCAGAAACGTTAAAATTTTACAATTTTAAGAGGTCAACTGTTTGCGGCGTTAAGCATACTTACCTGGCGTAGAGGTTACCGTGATCATGAAGGCGGTTCCTCCGGAGTGAGGCTTGGCCATTGCACTTTCGGTTGAGTTGACCTCCGCGATTATTCCTAATGCGAATAACTCGTGCGTGTAATTTTTGGTAGCCGGGAATGGCGTTCGCGCCGTCCCGACGTTAAAGAATAAATTTGTTTATTATTAAGTTGAAAGTATTGGTGTTTATGAATTTAATAAGGCGTTTGTCGGAGCGAGGGAAGTTATTTTCATCTGTTCGCCATGTGCAAGAAATCCAAATTTTACCTCCTTTCACCAAGTGAAAAATTCTTGAAAAATCACAAAGGAAACAGATTATTATGGACGGTGTGCTCGCGTCAGGCCTTTTATTTTGGATGTGAGAATAAACACGTACACGTCAAACTTATCTTATGATTTAATAACTAAAGGTTGTATAAGTGTGATAAGTATTGATCTGATCAAAAAATCGAATTTTGGCTGCCCAAAATTTTGTTTAAAATTCGACTTTTTTTTTTTAAAACGTCGCCATATTGTCAATTTTTGATTGTTTTATCGTAGCTCGTTGTACAGACAATATTATCTAGTAAAGAATTGTTTTTTTTTTGTCATCCACGGAGAAGGCCGGAATCACTGCAGCAGTGAAGTACCTTTTTTTCACGCCGTTGGAGATCGACTGTAACTTAAAAAATATTTAATTTTTTTTCTTCAAAAATTTCACTGTATATTCTTGAAACATGTATAAATATATTCTTAAAATTTTGAAATAATTGATAAGGTATTTTTTTTAATAAAAATTTCCAGAAATCACCTTTTTTTTAGTTCATTACACAGGTGTGCCCCTTAAACACGAAATAAATACCTTCGAAATTAAAATAATATATCTATACGAGTGTTTTTTAAATCAAATGCAAAAATTGTATGTAAATTTATACAATAAAAATTAATAGATGGGCAAAATTATAAATAGTAAAAATTACTTTTATAATTGGTTAAGTTAGAACCATTCGCATATATAGCAAAAAAAAAATTATTTGAGTAATTTAAGTCGCTACTCAACTGGTTGATGTCCTCGCTAAACCAAAGGCTGACATAACTGTCGTCCAAGAAGTACGATGGAAGGGATGAGTTGATAAAGAATACCTTTAATAAGTACCTGTAGTATACTCACCACTACGCTGATCTGCTTCTTCAACGTCAGGGTGGGCAAAGATAATATCTTTGGAGCAACTGTCGGAAAATTCAGTCTCAACAAGTGAATTTAGCGGTTTACTTATCCAACCTTTAATTATTGAATCTTGATTCTGAGTTTAGCCACAGTGATGAACTAAAGTGTTTGCACAGCAAGATAGTGCAACTTCAACTCGTTTTTTTAACCCCTTATGAAAACATTTTTAATTCCGAAAAAAAATGCTAGACTGAGGGACAAATTTTCCACTATTTTCAATTCAATTCATTTGATTGTCTTTTATGTTAAATTAATACTAATTATAATTGAAAAAAAGTACTAATTTTCACCAAACAAAAAGTGAAACTACCCTGTAAGAATGGGCTGATGGGTTCACCAATACACTCACACACATTTTTTGTTTTTCATTTTTAATTGCTTTTTACATTTGTTTATTTAAGGTCACTCCATGTCGTACGGAAAAATTAGCTTATGGAGCGGTTTGATTGTAATGGACGCTTCTCATTTTGCTGCAGTAGCAGATTTAAAAATATTCAATAAAACTGCAAGGTACAACTTCATTTAGACATTAATAACATTATTATTGAAACATTATTTTTTTCAACTAAATGACTTTATACTTCAAAGGAGCTGTGATTATGACGGAGGCGTTCGTGGAGCTGAGGAGCTGCGTCACTATTAAAGACTTCTTCTGTATATGTGGTGTTGCTTATAATATTTTGCTGATTTTTGTAGTTTATTGTTGTATTGTTATTTCTTTTGTATGCTAGTATAATGTTTGTATGTATGTATATATGTGGAAAAATTTTTGTCAAAGCTGATTTCCTTCGACATCAATGCTGTCGCTCAGCTGTGATCTGTTTGTCCGACAAGAATGACAAACATGTACAAGGAAACGAAAGGAGAATAACGTACACGTATACAAGTTTGCCATTTCGGCCTGAAGAAGGTGATAGGAAAATCGTTCTACGAGCTGACGGGATGTTTTCAAAATGAACCAATAGCCTACGCTAAGGAGTACCTAAACAAACTAATTGACTTTTGGGACAATGTGCTCTTCTCGGATGAAAGTAAATTCAATAACTTTCAATCTGATGGCAGTCAAACTGTGTGGAGAAAACCCAAAAAAAGAGAACCTGGTGGTGGAGGAGTCATTGTATTGGGTTGCATGTCCGTTGCAGGCGTGGGCGAGCCTTATGTAAAAAATACTATATGGAAATTCTTAAGAGAAATGTCAAAAAAAAGTGCCAGAAAACTTTAATTGCCAGAGTCATTTACATTTCAGCACCATAATGATCCGAAACATACCACTATGATGTGCGTATATGTAGCTTGCACACCATGTTAAACATACATAGCCGCATCCGCTCCAATCGCCAATTGAATATATGTGGAAGAGCTGGATAGGCGCGTTAAAAATCAACAAAAGATTTGAAGCTGGTTGATCTCGATGTAAAAGCGTTAGGAAGTTGTCATCAACTAAAAGCCGAAAATAAATTATATTGAAAGTTCAAAAGTTATGAAAACAGCGTAAAAAACCGTAACTTTCTTTTGAAGATATTTGAAGAGTTGAAATAATCAATTCCTTACAGATTTTAACAATTCAAATCTTCTTTCTTTCTAACCCATTTCCACTTCCAATCAAATTTATTCATTATTTGGGCCGAAATCCCGGCGGTACTGCAATACCGGGCCAACCCGTGACAGAGGTGGAGCAAGCCCCTAAAACACTCCGTCCATTTCCAAAAATCAGTTTAACATTTGTTGTCCTCCGATGGAGGATCTATCAGATGTTAAGCTGATAAGAACAGATACTACACTTTGATCTTAGCCATAAGGCCGAGAAGCGATAACTATTCAACGCTCAATATAAATTACTTATGCGCCGAATTTAACAAACCAAATGAGAATTGGTTGGCCAAACACAGCGCTGAACGAAAAATATGCGATTTATGTGTATAAGAAAAATAATTGAATACCCAACCAAACAAATGCAATGAACAAATATCTACAAAGTATTTTAGAAAAGTGAAGGGTGGTTTGAATGTACATACATACATACATATGTAGGCACAATGTTAAGGCTAATGCAACTGCAAGGAGGTAATAAAAACTAAACAAATACAAAAAATTTAAATTTAAATATTATTAAAAGAATTAAATTCAAAAAGTAAAATATCAAAACAAAAAACCTCTAAAATTTCCACATGAATTTTTCGACATGAAATTCCCAATAAGACCAAATATATTGCAAAAAAAAAAAAAATAAAAAAGGAATTACACAATTTTAATAAAAATAAAATGTTTGGAAAAATTAAGGAATGTACATACATTCATTTATAAGAAATCAAAAATATGCAAAGATTTTAAAAAATTTATTTAAAAAAAAAATTATTAAAAGGGTATGACCATGACACAAAAAAAGAAAGGTAGTTTCACTCAATATAAATTTGACAGAAAACGATTTTTAGACATTATATCTTATTGTTATTTTTACTTCAAGTATAGCCATTTTAAAAATATTTGTTATTATTTTTTTTTTAAATGATAAGCCGCCTGATAATAATTTTATTTACATTAAATTTCGGAAAATGCAATGCAAAGATTTTGAGTTTTTTGTTAGTACGTTTTATTTCTCCTTTTTTTTTTTGTTTAAATTGAAAGGTTTTGCATTTTTTTAAATAAACATATATATAATATATATATTTTTTTTTAAGTTTAGAAAGTAGAAAAAAATTTTATTAAAAATGCAATTGGTGGCACAAAAAAAAAACAATAGTCAAAAAATCATTTGATGCCAGATGGTTAATATTTTAAAACAATATGTTTTTACAATAAATAAGACGCTAAAAAAAAAAAAACAAAATGTGTATATATTACAAAAAAAAAGAAATATATATATATATACATGTATATTAAACAGTATACATTAATAAATTTTTTAAGGAAAACATTTCAAAAAAATTAATATCTTAAAGAATATTAAAAACTTAAAAACACATTGTAAATAGTAAAAAAATTTCAATACTAAAATATTGAAATAGTAAAAATATTTTAATACTAAAATATTGAAATACTAAAAAAAATTAATTAAAAATTAAAAACAAAATTTTTAAAAACTGGATGTTTAAAAGCTTAATATTATAAAAAGTAACAAATAAAAAAACTAAAACAATAAATACTAATATCTAAAGATATCTAAAGGTATTACAAAATTCAGCATTTTATAGAAAAAAAATAAAATGGAAT